GTAGCTGCATGAGTGATGGTGGTGGAATGAGTGATGAGATCAATGCATGTATAGTGAAAGCCAGAGCGGCTTATGCCAATCTGGGCTATCTTTGGCGCCTTCGTGATGTTAGTCTGGCTGTAAAAGGTCGGATCTACAACGCGTCGGTGAGAGCAGTTCTGCTCTATGCTTGTGAAACCTGAACTCTCCGAGTTGAGGACGTTAGACGACTCTTTGTGTTCGATCATCGCTGTCTCCAAAGGATTGCTGACATCCAGTGGCAACACCATGTCAGTAATGCAGAAGTTCGGCATCGTGTGTTCGGGCACAGAGATGATAATCCAATTGGTGTCACCATCTTGAAACATCGACTTCGATGGCTTGAACACCTTTTACGAATGTCGTCTCAGAGAATTCCACGTCGTGCATTATTTGCCGACTCTGGGACTGGTTGAAAAAAGTGGAGAGGTGGTCAGTATATGACATGGTGTCGGGGTATGAAAGAAAGCTGCAAAGAGATGGCTTCTGTTGGTCCTTCACGACTCCCTGGCTGGGGTCCGAGAGATGGTGCAACACAGTGGTTAGAGACGTTATCAGATATGGCTCAGAATAGAAGCCAGTAGCGATCCTGCTGTAACCTTCTTTTACTTTCTTCATAAAAAGTGGTTGTATCTTCCTTAACTGAAAGATTTCTTTTGATTGTACCTTTCCGTTTCCCCCATTATTATTATTATTATTATTATTATTATTATTATTATTATTATTATTATTATTATTATTATTATTATTACTGTTAATATTATTTTACACGACCCTACACTAATCTCGTCGTTATTGTTCTCCTTTTTTCCTTTACACTTCTTACCTTCCTTTTTTCTCTCTTCCCATCCTCAGTGTTTTGTGTGGCGCATATATATTTAGTGCCCCTTTGTACCAATATTTACGTGTTCAAATAAATAAATAAATAATAAAAATAAACCAGATAAATTAAAGTGAATTAAATTTAGTCTCAGAGATACTAAATGCGAGGACACAGTCTGCCAATCTACCCCTAAAATTTATTTTCTAGACTGACCAGTCCTTTGTACCATAAAATCGAAACTCATTAGCCTTTGTGCTCCGTTTACACCGAGAATCTAAGTTACGCTAAAAAACTGGACTACTACTACTGAGTCATCAGTTTGGTGATAGACCCATAGAGTAAGGCACAAAGCAGCCAGCGAAAAACTAATGATTCAAATTTAAATGAAAATCGCGCGTAGATCCCAAAGAATGAGGCATACTTCTACACTTTAAAAAAATTAGAAATCCATTAGAATATAACTATAAAAACGGTTTGAAAATTTCTATGCAGTAGAAAACAATTTATGTATGCATTAATTCAAGCTACGTAAATTACATGATAAAAATGACATATAAAAACAGAATCGACATGTTTAACCTCTTCTGATTTACCGAAAATGTCTGAATCTTTCATTAATTGGAAAGGAAAGCTTGACAAATAAAACATAACGTCTGAAACAGCCTATCGGAAAAGCAACGGCAGGATGAATAGTTGTGAAACCAGCATAAACAAACTCAAATAGTAGCATATACAAGACAATAAAATCGATTCCCCTACTAAATTCTTACATGCATGAAAGTCAAATAACTGGCTTCAATAATAATGAGTGTGATACATCAAAAATGAAACTACCGCGATGATAAGTGTGATGTGTGGGCGAGAATGATAATGATTGGTTGTTTGTATAGTCAGACTTGTAGATAGTCGGACAGGTGTTAGATGAGTTATATATTCCCCTATCCTTATTATCAATCATTATTGATTGTTAAATTGTGTCTGGTTTTGATGTGAAAATATAGTTACGTTCTAGTCAGGCTAATCACGTGTTCTTGATCTGAGTTGTGTTGATGTCCTGTACAATTGACACTAGGACGGAATCTAGTGTAGATGTTCGTTTAAGGTAAATTAACGTCCCCATACGTGTAGACGAAGTAAAGCCGAGCGTTATAACAGTACAAATAGGTAGATAATCAAGAAATATACCATTTTTCTTATCCTAGCACAATCATCCATGCAATGACAAGGACGGCCTGCTTGAGCATCTGGGCTACCTGTTCCTGCCATCTAGATATTTCAACAAGTTATCTATTGTTGTTTGTTTTAATATATCATTATGTTTATTAATCGCATAACCTATTCTGCTGCGTTTCTGAAAAGTGTATAACCTTTCGTTGTCAAAGTTACAGAAAACTCAATAAGAGACAATATGGTTGCTGGCAATGTACAACGAAAAGAATGTACATTATTCAGTTGTTCATTCACTGAAGTGCTAACATCTAACTGGCGATTCCTCAATATTTATCGCCAGGACCGACCAAGAAGAAAGAAACGGAAACTTGTTGAAATACTTTGCGCTGAGAATTCTATATTGTACCAAAATTATAATATTGAATAAAGCTAATAAAATAATAAATAATAATAATAATTAGCTGCTGTTTAAGTTTAGTGGTTGTACACTGCGTATTTAAAAGGCTTACCCTTTTTCAAGTGAAATATGACAGTTTGAACGATAACTTCTCTCTCAGGAATTAAGATTTTGGGGACCAGAGGTGCAACGACAGTAGACATTAATAAAATAATGAGAAACATCAATGTTACGGTATGATTTCCACTGTTGACGCATATGATTATTTGAAGAACACTAAGATGACTACCCAATTAGTATAAGAACCTATTCATATTGCCAAACAATCACGTTACATTAATCCCGACAACAACAAAAACTACGCGACATCCCAGGAATAATTAAACTATGTTATTCATAAATACATTAACAACAGTGGTCAAATGACATTTTTAAAAAGTGAGGTTATATATACTCACTCAACTGAAGTCTCCTTGTAAGTAGTTTCTTCTTCCCAAGAGGAGTGATGAGTACTTACACTTTTTGATGCCATTCCTGACTGCATCTTATTTTGAACCTCCTCAAGTGTTGAAGTGGACGGATTTGGTCGCTTCCAGATATCGAACATTTATTCTAGTGAAAGTAATACCGAATTTTAAAGTGACATCGTAAATACAAAAAACTTCTAACCGAAAAACTCTTGCTTTTATGAAGATTACCGTAATATTAGCAACTGACAATGTAATTTAATTTAAGAGGTAATAACCAAGTAAATTCGATGCAAACTATTAGTTTTTTCTGTTAACATCATTGACACGAATAACACTAAATGAAGCCATCTTCCTACAAAACAATGTCTTCAAAATCATTTGGAAGAGATATGTACAAGTGACTCATAATAAGCAAGACAAGCTAACTACTGTTTATATCTGACTACGTGAACTAGTGATATAAAAAACGATTTTTCATCAAAAAAATCATATCTAAGTGATTACCATTTGTTATGATATTTTCAATCTATTTGTTAAAATCCAACAATCGATTGCACGCCACTCATTGAGAAATTTAAACCAGTAAACTCACTCACCCTAAGTGACATGGTTAAACCTATAAATTCCATGAACACCAATTTCCATAAACATCTAAATTCTGTAAATTTGATTGAAGGATCGAAAAATCAAGTTAACAATTACAATATACAAAACATTAGAGCATTTTGAATGCGAAGAAAATAACTTAATAACTTAAGTTGTTGCTCTCTTAATAAACAGGCTTTTTAATAACTACATATCGTTGTATATAGTTATATAGTTCAAGCTGATATGGCGTGGGATATGGCAACTTCGATGCATGTTGAAGTCCATATATATCGTATCTACTGAGACAAAGTTCTGCTCCAATGTTTAGTAAATGAGGGTTAAGTAATTATTAGTCAGTCGCTGCATTTTGTTTACTTATTAGCAGAACTGTGAAACAGCAACTCCACAGACTAGTCACTCCTACACAAATAGGACACTAGTTTTGAAAACTACGAGTATTAGACCTAGATTATTAATAGAGGAAGTTTTTCTAGTCAGTTAGATGTTAGTTATCACCATGAATAGAAACCAATCGAAACAACTGAAAATTAGAGATCATTAGACACCTGAATAAACTAAATATTTGATGATTTTCGGTAGTTTAAACTTGATATGACGGAGAGAATTGAAGGACTATTGTCTGCTTTGTGAATTTTATTTTCACCCTTTATCAGTCGTTGTATACACTACCATGATTAGATACTATTTATGTTAACAACAGTTTAAATCACCTAACAGTTCGGCAGTTGGTGACCGATCTTATTTGTAAGTATCTGTTTACTCGGGATTCGATGACTTAACGGATAAAATTTTTTTACGGTCACCACAATAATTCTAATGTTTTAATAACTAATAAAAATCTCCAAACACTGTGGACATTGATAGGATAACCGGGTGAAACACATAGATGGTGGGAAACAGTATTTGCCCGTCTTATGCAGATTAAAACACCGTTCGTCAGACTACTTTATAGAGTGGTTCTAAATTTAACTGAAGTTAGGAAACAAACAATTTACTAGAATTGTACACAATTCAATAATACAATCAATGAAATTGCTTTACACTAATTGAATCGTTTGTATGTACTACTGACCCAATACCCAGCATAATGAGTAAGCTCATTTCAAAATCCAAGTTTGTCAGGATAAAAGACAGCTTAATAGGCAGTCATTACTGAGTTTGAAGATGGATGTTCCAGTATATTTAGGATCAGTTAATTTAAGGTACCTAAATTATCGTCAGAACTCAAAACCTGAACCTATTCCTTGGACCAAACGGACCATCAACTATTAGACCCATAGGGATGAAGGACTTCAGAGCCATAATAGCCATATGTAAGACAAATTTTCCTCAGATGCAGTTAAAACTCACATAAAGCAACGCATTGGTAACAAAGGAGTATCCAGTGTTATAAGATCAAATACATAAACAAAGCAAGCAAGCAAACTGGTTAGCTCGAATAGGTTCCAATCAGGTCATTTTAATTATGAAGTAATAAAACGACGACATTATAATCAAATGAAAACCGAAAATCTCAAATAGAAACTATATTTATTCTGCTATTTATCCTGTACATAATGCATATCTTACAAATTCCCGATATACAGAAGCTTATAAAGATAAGTATACAAAATATTCAAGGGGCACATATATAATCACCGTATTTTTTACACACTATCTGAAGGAGAAAAACATAACTTGTTATCCGAAGTGGAGTAATTTTTCACCAAAACCTGTTGATAAGTTGAAAATAAATGACTGATTAAATAAGTTGTTTCTTTTGGTTTGATATACTCGCATGATTTCCGACTAGACTCATATCGATCAATATAAATTGTCAGTGAATTATCCGATGGTAATTTAGTTGGAGGAATATGATTATGCACTAAATAGAACAAAAGAAAGTCTACACAGAAATTTGTTAAACAAACTTCCCATAATGAAGACGGTTGACGATCTGAAACTAACCGGTCCAAATATGTTATACAATCGGGATTTATGTATTTCATCCAGTTATCACTATGATTTTCGTATGGTATTGTTGATATGTCAGATTCCTCTTGATGATAATTAGCCATAAGAAAAGAAGTCATTTGGCCAATATCTAACAATAATAAACTGCCAATCAAACCGGAGCAAGATGTTGTCTCAGACGACAAAAGACGTGAAAAAGCATCAAGCCAACGTTCAAGGAATATTGCTTCCGTAGGAAATAGCTTAAAACCAACCGTTAAACACATTGAAGCTAAACGAAGACATTCGCTTGACAAATAATCCAAGGATGATGTATTAAGTAAAAGACTAATACCAATCCAACACCACGAAAGTTGTTCAATTTCTTTACCAGGTCGCAAGTTGGAAACTTCAACTTCACGGTGAACCATATTAGTGGCATTCAGCCATTCCTTCTTTCCAATATTGTATATAATAAAAAAGAACGACTTTTCATTTGAACAAGAACGCTCAATAAGTCGTGTAATACATTTCTCTGCATATTTCCAAGATTCGGACGGATTCAAACGTAAACGAGCAAGAACTAAAGCTTCTTTAACTCTGTCATAACTTAACAATAATTCAACCGCTTCTTGGACACGATGTGCGCATACCAGAAGTGTAACAGACACAAGAATATCAGGACTAGCAGTTTGCATATCCCTAATCTATTGATTTGAAAAAGACATGAAGAAACAACAACAAGTAACCTATTACAACAAATAAAAGAGAAAAAAGATTATACATATTAATTTAGGATACATTAGAGGTGTGTACTGTAGTACCCATTATCTATTGAAAAAAAGTGACATGATTTTTAGTGAGAAGGATTGTGATATCAACAATAATGTTAACTCACTGACTCACCATACACTAAGCAAACTGTATTGACTTCGTTCTTTTCACCAAGCATATGCTATTTTAATCAAAAACCTTGATTTGATTGATAAATTCAACAAATTTAGTTCAGGTTCACTCATCCTAGTTCTAATTTGTCACAGCAAAGTTGTCAGAGTAAACTTCGTAAATCACAAATCTAGGTTAACATTTTACACAAGTTAGTAGTTTTTCACTTTGACAAGGTTTGATTTTTTAAAATCAAAATCGTGATATATGTGAACAATAACTCAACTTTTGGAAACACCAGTAGGTTCAAGTAAGCAGCCAAATAATGTAAGTGATTTGAACGATTTTATCTATTAAACTAGCTTAATCTTCATACTAAATACAACGGCCCAGAAAAAACGAGATAAATCGTTAGTGCCTAAATAACCCAAATCTCACTTCCGAAAATACCTGGTCAGGATGAGGTAATTACCAAATAACAGTAATCCATAGAAGTATATCAATGTAATTTTGTCACTCAGGATTTTCAACCACTTAGTTTCGCAAGTTCCGACCCACAATCACTAATAAAGAATTGGAGGATTAGTTAGTATAAATAACATTTAAACAATAGGAACATATCTGGGACACAAACTTCTAGATGACTGCTAAATTACATTGGTTGTACGTATTGTCACTCTTCATATACACGACAGTCGTTCAGCGATATTAAGTTTAGCTTTTCATGTGTACTTATCCAATGTACAATTTTATTTGGTCAACTAATAAAGGAATTTCACAAGTTGGACTAAATGCGGTGTGCAATTTTCAACACGAAAACATTCTGAATGAAATATATTGTCTGCAGTTACTTAATACGAGCACGAATATATGTTTCAATTTCTTTTTTCCCATGATCAACGAAACCTCTCTTTGGAATAATACTCTACATGAAATAGACAAAGAATAAAACCCTATTACCTGTTCCTTTATATTACATGCTAATGTAAGTCTATAATATTGAAATAAAAGGAAAAGAGCACGCTAAATTCTACTTATTGCAATCAATTATTGACACATGTTTAAAACCATTACATCCAGTAGAAATATTACAAAATCTGAAATAGTTTAGCAAAACCACTAAACATCGTATAAGAATATATCGAAAATTATAAAACATTTCCATATTGTGAAGTATAACAACATATATAAACAAGTAATATTGTCTTCAATAAGATCCTTACCAGGTTTTACTCGAATATGCAGTAATATTTATATGCGTATACTGAATTAGTAAACCAATCAAGGCAGTTTATGAGCCCGTGACAACAGTAGAATGTATTACATGAATAAACATAATAATTAAAAAGTACTAATTGATAATGTGTTGACAGGTGTACTAATTGTGACAAGAATAACAAGGCTTGAAACTGTGACCGCCGATTAGATGGCAGTGACTTATCGACAGGATCAATGACGCGTAAACCCGTATGAGCAGCCTAGATTCTTGATTGGTCCTGCTTCCTGCCTAGCCCAGCCAGTTGAGTCCAGAACACCAATCCGAGCCCCTGCGATATGAATCAATATTCCAAACATACTGAGTTTATATACCAATCAAACAGACCACAACGTACCATAAAATAGAAAACAACATTTATACAAGATTTGGCCAAAAGTGGCTGTGAATGAGAGAGGCAGTGATTAACAGACGGAATAATTCAAGAATGGAAAATCGTATAATAACAGTTCATGAGTTAAAATAAAGCTTATAATAAGAGAGACATGAGTATGAATAGTTTAGTTAACTAGCAATTATACGATAAAAATTTACGTAAAGTATTTGTCCACAAATGGATACAAAAATTACCATTCATTATTCTTGTCGGGACATAACAGAATCCATGTTCCGTAATGGGAAATAGGTTAATGACTTGAATAATATAAATGCTGAAACAATAATCATAAAAACTATAAGATTACATAGTAAGAAGTGTTCATATAGTTGGACAATGAACCGTACACTTGAAAAAAGGGCGATGGAAAATAAACGAACAAAGAGTATAGGAAATAATAATAAACAAAATCTTTTATTAAGGCCAATTCGGTCAAGGAAGAGTTAAAAATGTTACATATTTATGAATGCGAAGACTTGGATTTTTAGCTCGAATTCCTACAGCTTCTGTTGTGTAAGAGACGAGATCGAACCTCATACGGAAAACTAATAAGAATACGAAAAATCAATTTAAAAAATAGACAGAAGGAACTGGGACTGTACTAATGTGTTTGACTGGCAGGGGGAGAAAACAGAATGCACAATGTTCGCATAAGAGATAAGACATTTTGGTGGTATGTGAAAATATTAGATTTCCATAAAATCCTCTTTTCTGAACTAGATTTTAGATAAAATTTAATATCCAAATGAATTACAGACAGTCACTAATTCTAGCCGAGTGTGAATCATAAGGAATTGTGACTCGTAAGACAAAAATGATAAATTGTGATACTTAAATATTTAATCCATACAACTGTTAAGTTGTTAAGTTTTCTTTCGTAATACATTCTTGCTTGAAAGTGCTGTTACACTATGTAACTTCAGACACGATCTTAATATCGGAGCGGAATGGACCAATATACATAGTAAACGGTCAATATTCTTAATCCGATCCGTACAGATATAAAACTTTCACAAAGTTTTGCTTTAGGGTGACTTGATGGCATGACTTAAAAATTTAGGCATCCAAACTCGTGCTAACCATTGCATAAATAAAGAAGTACTAACCCTTTTCATTAAATGACATTTCAAGTCTCGTAAACGTGTGACTGGCTACTGAAATCGTTACGCCACTATTTTAAAGTACTGTTTCAAAGAAAGCATTTTAAGTGTGTGCGGAAATTGTATTGCTTTTGGAATCGGAAAAATTAATTTAAATGTTAACACGTTAACTCACCTTTTCACCAAGCAAGTCAATGTCCACGACAGGATTTTCTTTTGATACGGTTAACTTATTGTAACTTCCAGGATATGCAAGAGTTGATTGAGCTAGTTGAATTGCATATAATAGCCAAAAAGGCATGTGACCTTCTGTTGACATAACAGGTGGGATACTAGATATACAACCTATCCATAAAAATATGATGCAATAGGCATCTAAATGAACTAAACTGTTTGGTCGTTGACCGAGATGAAATAACTTTAAATGATGAGATGCTTCCATTTTTAAATACTTTAAAAGAAATGTTCTGGTTACGCTAACTTCTGGTAAGAGAATCAACAAATCAGTTGGCAGTCTCTCGTCATCCACTTTTTCAGTTATGAAGTCAGAGACACTTAAAATGTGTGAAAGAAACGTTCCCATATTAAAAGGCGGAGAATGATACAAGTTAAGCTCACATTGTTTATTGATACTGAACTGAAATAGGTTAGGAAAAAGAGCAGGTCGTTTTCTTTTTTCTGCCGTCCCAGTAGAATTGATTTTCCTAGAGGAATTCTGAGATAGAACGAATTTTTCCTTGTGAGAAGCCCTGATAACTTTATCATCATTATTTAACATTATTTCTTTATTTGATTTTTCTTTCAGAGCTTCGGAATTAATAAAAGAATTTGCTTCCAACTGAAGAGATTCGCCCAAAATACCACCATTACATAGTTCTTCCTGATCATTATTTACAAGTCTTTTGATAGTTGGTGGTCGATGTCGGCGACTATGGGGTGGTTGGCTATGGATTTGTTCAGAGGGTCGCCAACCGAATAGAAGACATAACTCTCCACCGCTAAAGGCAAGATCAGGTTCTTGACGACTCCATAAACATGTAAAAAGACGTAATCTGTGTGCGCGAAAATTAGATATTGATAGAGTATCGTTTTCAATATTATTAGCATGAACTCGCCAAACATTAGCTGTACCATCGAAAGAAGAAGACAGTAAGAGGAAAGGATCATGTGGGGACCAGTCTAAACAGGTGATTCTGTTGAAATGACCTTCTAATCGTGCCAAACAAGTAGACAGCTGAACAGGTTTGAGATGTTGTTCTTGGTTGAGAGCATTAAATAGTTGTATCTTGAGGTCAGTAACAGTTATAAAAGATTCGTTTGACGCAATAGCGAGCCAGTAATAGTCCCATGACCAAGCTAAACAATTGACACACTTAGAATGACTCACAATACGACAAATAAAGAACAGGTTATTCGACAGTTTCGAATTTGATAAACCATAAACATCAACTTGACCTGAACGATAGCCCACACCTATCAAGTAATCGAAGGTATCAGGAACTGGATCGCCTGATAACTGTTTGGTTTTACTAACAGGGCGGAATGCTATATCACTACGAATCAGGGTTTTCCAATCTTCCTCAGTGGTATTTGGAGGAGAAGGAAACTTCATGCTAACTTCAACTGGAGGGCGACCGCCTCCAAAATGACAGTGGATTTTTCCTTTACTTACACTATAAACATAGAAAGGAAATTTAACCCCGGACTCTGTATTGCATTTTACATTTTCCTCCACAGTTGTATTTGATAAGACTGCAGAATTATCAGGTTCCGAATGACTTTTAGTTTCTATCTGTTCATTTTTGTGATGTGAACCCGTAAATACCACAGGCCCCCAAGCAACTCGGTAGACGGTCGAACCAAACGCGTACAACTGTGGTTTCGGCTTTTGATTCTGCATTTTCTGTAGCTTGTTAATATCGACAATCTCCACACAACCGGACTCGGTCCCATAGGCAAGGATGTTTTCGTACTGCGGTAAAGGATGCCAAGCAAGAGCAGTTATAGGCGATGACTGCGATCCTCGAGGTGATATTGAAATAGATTTGTCCTTACTTTGATTATCAAAGGAATTGTTTCCATCATACATATTCGATGAATAAACTTTCCAAAACAAAATCGAGCCATCTGAAAGCCCTGCGACTAAAGGACTATTACTAAACGATGACTGAGCTAGAGAAAACACCCCTGCAGAAAGTGTTGGTAGTCGTAAAACAACTAACGGGAGGGATTCTTCAACTAACTCCCACACAATCAGAACTCTATCTTGGCTGACTGTGATCACTAGCCCAGGAGAATTAGGAACAAACAACATTGAGAAAATCAGCATAGAATGTCCCTGGTTTTCAGGTGTTATGTTAGTAGGTGTGTCTGAGCAGTTCCAACGGAATAATTCACCCCGTAATCCCGAAAATAAGATATTCACCATCAAATTCGCCCCTATGGTGTAACAAGCAGATATCCATGGGGCTCCGCTAACATTGTTTTTTTGATTTGAACGTTTTCCAGAATCATTTGCATGATAACGTGAATGACCAGGAACCTTGGTACAAAAACAGCATTCGGAGGTAGATACATTCCATACCTATTTGTTAATGGTAATTTAAATTACTTATCAATCATCGTTATATATGTACATCTTTTGCAAAACAAACTATAGCACTATCAGCTGTATAAGTAAAACTGTATAAAATAAAATATGTAAGAAAAATTAAATATTAGACACCACACTTTTGTCCGACATAAAACCATAGATAAATGATCAAATAGTTACAGTGAGGAATATAATTTATCGCGAGAAATAGACACAGTTAATTACCATGATCCTTATTGGGATCTGACTATATAGACTCCCAGGTAATCGATCAACTTGAACGAACAGACGTGTACTTGGCTTCGGGTACAACTATAGTGTGAAGGTTGCCGATATTGCCAATTTGCTTGTATTAGCATAAACGTGCATTTCAACTTGTTTAAACCACTGGTCATTTTCGATCTTGCGAGAAAGTAATATCGATATCAGTTACACAAGTGTATTATTAAAACAATAGATAATCCGGTATCGGCTTACTTACTTACGCCTGTTACTCCTCGTGAAGGAACATAGGCTGCTCACCAGCATTCTCCATCCAACCCTGTCCTGGGCAATCCTTTCCAGCTCCTTCCAGTTGTTATTCATCCTTTCCATATGTGCTTTTATTTCCCGACGTAATGTGTGCTTTGGCCTTCCTCTTTTCCGCCTTCCTTTAGGATTTCAAGTTAGGGCTTGTCTCGTGATGCAGTTTGACGATTTGCGTAGTGCATGACCTATCCACTTCCATCGTCTTTTCCTAATTTCTTCTTCATCTGGAAGCTGATTTGTTCTCTCCCACAAAAGGCTGTTGCTGATGGTATCCGGCCAATGGATGTTGAGTATCTTGCGAAGACAGCTATTTATAAATACTTGTACCTTCTTGATGGTGGTTGTTGTAGTTCTCCAAGTTTCAGCTCCATACAGTAAAACTGCCTTGACGTTGGTATTAAAGATTCTCACTTTGATATTGGTTGAAAGCTGTTTCGAGTTCCATATGTTCTTCAATTGTAGGAATGCGACCCTTCCTTTGCCAATCCTTGCCTTTACGTCTGCATCTGAGCCTCCTTGTTCATTGATGATGCTTCCCAGGTATATGAAAGATTCTACATCTTCCAGAGTTTCGCCATCGAGAGTGACTAGATTGCTGTTCTCCGCTTTGAATTCGAGGACCTTGGTTTTCCCTTTGTGTATGTTGAGGCCTACTGATGCAGATGCTGCTGCTACACTGGCTGTCTTTGTCTGCATCTGTTCGTGTGTATGCGATAGGAGGGCTAAGTCATCTGCGAAGTCCAAATCGTCTAATTGAATCTGAGCTGTCCATTGTATTCCGTGTTTTCCTTCAGATGTCGAGGTCCTCATAATCCAGTCGACCACCAGAAGAAAAAGGAAGGGAGAAAGTAAACAGCCTTGTCTGACTCCGATTCTTACTTGGAATGCATCTGTCAGCTGTCCTCCAAGCACGACTTTGCATTGTAGTCCGTCGTATGAGTTGCGGATAATATTGACAATCTTCTCAGGAACTCCGTAGTGTCGAAGAAGTTTCCATAACGTCCTCCTATCCACACTGTCAAATGCCTTTTCATAATCAATGAAGTTGATGTATAGTGACGAGTTCCACTCAACTGATTGTTCGACGATGATCCGTGGTGTTGCAATTTGGTCTGTGCACGATCGATTCTTACGGAATCCAGCTTGTTGATCTCGCAGTTGGGCGTCTACTGCATCTTTCATCCGGTTCAGCAACACTCTGTTGAAGACCTTCCCTGGAATTGACAGTAGTGTAATGCTTCTGTAGTTCTCACATTTGCTCAGATCTCTTTTCTTTGGAATCTTGACGAGGTGCCCTTCTTTCCAGTCCATCGGCACTTGTTCCTCCGGTATCGGCTTAGCCACGAAGATACTCACCAATTGACCATTGAGACCTAATATTACTTTGTGTTATCAGTACTTACTGAGAACAGCAATAAAAATTTCAGAGCACAGAATCACAACTACTGAAGGTGTTTAATTAATGGTTTTCTTCAGACAAGTATCAACACACTTGATGATACAAATTAAGAATTGAACTTGAAAATAACTTTAAGTGGGTTTTACAACGTGATGTAAGCGTCTAATTCAAATTCAGTAAGGTATCTTTTACCAAGGTCTATTTTTATAAAAACAGATGAGTTACTTGACGTTATTTTAACTAGGATCTAAGTAAGCATATACCAATAACATAATCTAAAACCAGGACAAATGTACTGGAATGAAAATTTCTATATTTTTAAAGCCCTACTGGACTGAACGGGTTAGCAATATCGATCAGAAAAAAAATAGGTGAGTTGGAAAAAAAAAGCAAGAACCCAGCTTATCCGTTTACAACCATGAGTAAACTAACAAGAATATAGTAGTAAGAATTAGAACATTAATGGATTGAAAAAGTCATAAAATAGTTCACCTCTAAATGTTCAGACGAAGATAAATACGTGCTGATTTTAGGTTGAAACAAAACATCTGTAACCACCTACATCCTAGACCGGTTACGATATCTACTGTAATATAACCAAGTAGTTTCGTAGACCATAAACACACCCTACAAAGCATAACGAGAGTAGAGATCAAAAAGAGAATGCCAAATAGCAATTAAGAGTAAATTCTTTAAGGATATTATGGCTTCCGATAACATAGCGAAAATAAGTAGATTTTTACACATAAGGGAACAGAAAATGGGCATTATTGTGAATGAAATCAAGCGACCTCACACATGGTCTTAGCGAGAAATCACTTTGACCAGGGATTTCGCATAAAAAACGAGGCTTTACAAAAAGACTGCTCAAAAATGAGACTGAAGATCCTTAAACCAACGTATTCTATTTTCTTTAGAAACCAGATTTAGTTCACAATTTTAAAACTTAATGATACTTGTTTACCAAATAGAAGTCTATATATTCAGCCTTTAGTAATGCTTTATGTGAAGGCCTATGATACTACCTGACCATCCAAACCGAAGTAAGCGAAGCTGAGTTCAAACCTACATTTCACAAAATAAGTATTTACGTTGATGTACATGTACAATCAATGCTAACTGAAAAAGATATTTTAATTGGACTTGAAAAGCAAATGTTGAGGAACATCTAGAATGTTAATAAAAAGAGTATGCACGTTTAGTGGGTCCATGATCTATGAACTATTACTACAATGCAGGTAGATAAAAACGACCGACTGCCTCGACGTGCGATGTTCAGTGGTATAGGAGTAGGTTGGAAGAAAGCTAGGCGCGGCCAAACCAAAACATGGCACAAGTCCATGAAGTCACTGACAAGTGAACTGAGTCATGTTGGTAGGTGTAGACTACCTGGTTGGGGACCGCGAGATGATAGCAACTGATGGTTAGAGACCCTGAATGACATGGCTCAAAATCGTTTGCAATGGCGCAGGTGCATACACTTTTTGTGTTCTCCCAATTTTTGATCTCTTTATTCCTCCTTGTCTTTTTTTTCTCTTCCCAAATTTATTTCACTGTATTATACTTTTTAAATAACATCTCCAAACACTAGTTTTTCTGATTACTGCTCATACTCTTATTACCTCTACCACTACGGGATTTGAATCGACAAGTGCATCTCTGTGCTAATGTGGTGTGGCAACTCGAACTGATGTACGTACGTACGAAGTTCTACGTTATTACTGACTGACTGACTGACTGAGATAAAAACAGAGAAGGCCTAAGGAGTGGATTGTTAAATATTTTCAAGGGATTATGAATGTCAGCACATAACATGTACTAAATTTAAGTTAGGTTGACCAGCTTCTCACATATAAATTGTCGTAAATTATTTAAACAGTTTGAAACTTAACTAATAGTAAAGTTCACAATGATAGATTCAAAGACTGTATTTATAAAGCTATCTCTTGTGTCTTTCATCACAAAATGAGTAGTACTAATACAAAGGATTACGCAAATAGAAGATCAAATACGACAAGTTACATTAAATATCGGCCTATATGACGAGGTCGCTAAAGAATATAACATTAAAAATCATAAAACTATTACTGTGAAGTGGACACTCGTCATCTTTACATGAACAAAACATCGAATTAAGTAGTGAGAAAACTGTATTGTAAATACGAGTACTACTTACTTTCATCCAACACACAAATTTCGGTACAATTGAGTAACAAAAAGTATGTCCCACATAAACAAAGAGATAATGTGAAGTTATAATGAACCGAAAAGAATTATAATTTTTTTTAAAAATAAACGAAAATAATGTATAATAGGAGAAACAGTTCAGTCAAAAGCAGATTCAGGAGGACATCTTTTACGGAAATCGTACTGGAAATCTACAGCAGGATTGACACCGGCATATATTCTGACAGCACCTCAAGTCAGTGAGTTGTGCAATCACCAGGATCCCAGAGAAGGAAAATATGATGGACCGACAAATCCCACTACTAGATGGCTTAATTTTGTACCACAATTAATAAGATGATCACCTCTCCAATTTTACCAACCAGTCTCACATCGGCAAATAATGAGCGACATGGAAGACGCTAGAATAAAACTCGTAAAACGCGTTGAAGTCAATGAAGCCAATGTTTCGAGATGACAACACTAATAAGCTTCACTCGGCCTTGAAAAAACAACTAACATTCGTAAGACGTGATTTACATGTGATACTTACTGATACTAAGTGAGATTTAGATTTTTTGTGTATTATCTCGTATAAAGATTTTGTCATTCATGTACTCAATTAGGTTTTCTTCCAGGAAACAGGTCCACACCATCACCACGTGCCTCCCTGAAAGTTGTTTCCACAATGTCATCGAGGGAAAAATTAGAGAGGAATGGTTGGATTAGACGACACCACCAAACTCCACTCTCGGTTTGGGACAATGAAGAATGTTAGTAGCATGTCCTCACTTCTCCTGAGGTATAAATACTTTAAGATATTAATAAAGTTATCATGCACACCCTTCTTCAACAAACAATCTCACGATTTTGCGTGTAATAAGGGTAACGATGTTCCAGGATTTTTAGGTTGACGTGATCAATATGTCCATTAATTGGATGAAAAATTATCTGCTCACTGTGGGTCAACTATTCACTGTTTCTACAAAATTTGGGGAGTACGAAGGGACTTATTTGGAAGTAAACTTGTCCTTTTATGGTTGGTGCGTAGATAACGTAAGCTATCCTTAAAGATGTGAAAGACGGTCGTTTCAAATCAAGATGCTAGAATTCTGTTTCTAAGACCTTAGGCATACCACTGAAAATTCTTTTCTGAATTCTTTAATCTCTAAGGTCTAGAAGACTCATCAATAGGAGATATCATACATTATTATAATTGTATACAATAGTGCAGCAGTGATAAAGAATATCAGCGGTCTGTTATTAGATCCGATAACAGTAATTACCCATGCAGCACATGTCTAATTTGGAGATTAATTTCTGAGTTATAATGAAGAAAGGTCACCCTACGCTGATATACGAACACAAACATGCTTATCGGAGTTCAACAATGATAGTTTTTCTTGTTTTTATTTAAAAACATACACATTTGTACAAGGAGGCAGAAAATACATATGCCCCACACAAATCTCATTTGATATGTATGAGAGCTGGGGTACAACCCGGGTGCCCAAACCGAAGCAGGTGGTTTTCTTAAGGAGGCCACACCCGGAGCCTTCGACCCGAAGGTCTGATCCACAAGGCAGTGGCGCATCGTAAGGAGATGCAGTCCCATGGTAGCCGGTGGCCAACAACTGGTCCATATGCCATTTGTTCCTTCAGGATACTAGAGCTCATGTGCACCATGGGTTTGGAATCAGAGTTTTCCAACTCCCCTATGTGGACTCACCATGTCCACCAATCCGGTTAAAGCGCCGGACATTCGCTTTCCGTCCTCTCATTTTCGTAAACAACACCCCCGCCACGAGTCAGTGAGTAGGACTTCCTTGGCATAGGCTATATATGCGTGGCCATGTGAGAGCATTTCGAGAGGGAGAGCGGACTCTCCACTCTTGGCCGTACCAGGGCATTTGTAGAATAGCTGAAGACCAACTGAACTGCTCCTTAAAATGTTCCACCCATCGTTCTAAACGTCTGGACTAGGAGCAGATGTGAGTGTCGTCTTTTTCGAGATAGTCTAACTGACACTTGACTTATTAATTCCTGTTTCTTTTATTAGTCTGTAGATGATGATGAGGTTGTGAATCTTCACAGACTGATATGGTTGGACCACGTGATACTCATGATTGAACACCGATTACCAGTGTGCGCAATGCTGACTAATGTTGGAGACGGATGGAAGAAAGTTAGGGGCGGCCAATCCCAAACGTGGCATAGTAAATAAAATGACTAACTTCTGGTTTGATCTATGTCGGTAGATGCAGATTACTTGGTTGGGGTCCGTGCGACTATCGTAACCAACGGTTGGAGACTCTGGGTGACATGGCTGAGGATCGACCACAATGGCGAAGGTGTATACACTCCTTGACTTTCCTTAAATTGGGATTAAAACTGCTTTATATGTTTCGTGTCTATGAACTAATGCTGTCTCCCTGTGATGTGAACAGAGAAACAAGAAGCCTTGACGAACTACGGAAGCTATTTTTCGGGACGTTATTGCATTTAATTCAAAGCTTGTAAAACAGTAACTCTTTGTTTAGTCTATTCTACAGATCATAAGCTTTCGTTTGATGTATGATTCAGTGCTATAGCCCTTTGTGTTCCAAAGCTATTGTAATTTAAACGCATTATTTTGTTCTCTATTTTCTACGCTAATCCCCAGTTTTGTACATAATTGTATTTTCCTAATAATTGTACGTTGTGGTCGGGTTAGTCATCTATTTATTCATGCACTTTTTTACACTAATCTGGAATCGGGAACCAGATCGGAATTAGGAATAAATCGAGTAGTGTCCCTGTTGACTTGTCTTCCACTAGCATGACTGTCAGCCATTCAGGTGATAGAAGAGATTTCTCTCTACCCCACTTCGAACTCACGCGTACTAGCCTTGAAGATTAAGCAACGTCTTAATATAGATTATACAAGCTATCCTCAGCACCACAAGTGGGTAGACAGATCAAGGAAGTAACACCCTGTATCATACCCTTATATGAAATCTTTCTTTTATATATTACTACCTTTGAAGTGACTACTTCTATGAATCTGGTGTTCATCTTGTTGTGATAATGAAGTGTGTCAACTCGGACTGATGCAGATATGTGCCTAGTCCTGAGTTGTAGCTGACTGAGTGAGTGATACGAAATACTAATGAAATGGCAAGCTACGAAAAAATCTGTAAGTGTTCTGAAAAAAAATAATTGTTTGGTGTTTCGGATTTTTTAACAATGAAATACAAATTCTGAATGGCAGTCTTTACAGTTTAGCTTTCCATGAACTATACACCAAGTATCTAGACCCTAAGTGAAAACCTGTATGCGGACGATATTGTCTTACTGTGCGATAATGCCCAAGGCATGCAATCCGCACTTAATCAGTTGGCAATCAATGTCCGTAGGTATGGTATGTGCTTTGCACCTTCGAAGTGCAAAGTACTTCTACAAGACTGGCAGGATTCTAGTCCTGTACTCACTCTGGATGGTGAGCAGATAGACGTAGTTGAGAAGTTCGTGTATCTGGGTAGCTACATAAGTGCTGGTGGGGGTGTGAGTGATGAGATCAATGCACGAATAGTGAAAGCCAGAGCGGCTTATGCCAATCTGGGCCACCTTTGGCGCCTTCGTGATGTTAGTCTGGCTGTAAAAGGCCGGATCTACAACGCGTCGGTGAGAGCAGTTTTGCTCTATGCTTGTGAAACCTGGCCTCCGAGTTGAGGACGTTAGACGACTCTCTGTGTTCGATCATCGCTGTCTCCGAAGGATTGCTGACATTCAGTGGCAACACCATGTCAGTAATGCAGAGGTTCGGCATCGTGTGTTCGGGCACAGAGATGATAATGCAATTGGTGTCACCATCTTGAAACACCGACTTCGGTGGCTTGGACATGTTCTCCGAATGTCGTCCCAGAGAATTCCACGTCGTGCATTATTTGCCGACTCTGGGACTGGTTGGAAGAAGCGGAGAGGTGGTCAGTGCATGACATGGTGTCGTGGCATGAAAGAAAGCTGCAAAGGACTGGCTTGTGTTGGTCCTTCACGACTCCCTGGCTGGGGTCCGAGAGATGGTGCAACACAGTGGTTAGAGACGTTATCAGATATGGCTCAGAATAGAAGCCAGTGGCGATCCTGCTGTAACCTTCTTTTACTTTCTTCATAAAAAGTGGTTGTGTCTCCCTTACCTGAAAGATTTCTTCTGATTGTACCTCTTCGTCATTACTCTCTTTTTCTTTTGCGTTCCTTAGTTTTTTTTTTCTTCTTTCTACTTCTCTTCGAATTCCCATTGTTTTGTGTGGCGCATATATATTGGAGCTCTCTTGTACCAATATTTATGTGTTCAAATAAATAAATAAATAAAGTGAAAACCTAGTTATTTAAGCCTTAAGGATGGTGACGACCTAAGAATATTTTAAAAACAATCTTAGTCAATACGTTAATCGACTTTTATTCAAGATTTTTGGGGCACATACAATACGACCAAAGTCATTTAGTACCAAGTAGATAGAACCATTAGAGTACCACGAAAAGTAGAGAAACTAATTCTGGAGCTAGTTTAGAAGAAACTTGTTTATTATATCTTCACATAATAGCAATATGAGAAAAGTGGATGCTAAATTCACATCGTAAGACAAAGTCCTAATGTTTAAACCAGCATTAAAAGCTAAACCATACTGAAATTTTTTACGAATAAAGTAAACTGTAACACAAAAGGTCCAAATGACAAATGAATGACCATATTAAAACCGATCAACGGTCAAACTAGTATTTGTATAACAATATGTATTGATGTTCTTTTACTGTTTCTGATAAACTGCATACAACCTATAAAATAGAGATAGTTAAAGTGTACAGATACTTATTGTAAAGCCCAAGATATCTTACTGCACAAAATTCATGTGTTCCAGCCATGTGAATGTAGTGATGACCCAATATTCTATTACACGAACATGATTAGAAATACGAGACTAGATACAAGTAATAAAGGAAAATCTAAATTAACGGATTGTGACAATATAATCACTTTAACTTTATAACTGAAAAAATTACGCAGAAAATATCTCCAAATAGACTTTGGTAGCTACCCACCTTAACCATTTGATCACGTCCACATGTAAGAAGCTCTGTTGGGTTGTTAAAATAGTCCGAAACACATGGTCTCCAGACTACATGACAGACATCTCTCTCGTGCGCGTAGAATCTTGCTATTTGTATGACATTCGAAGCTGATGAAATATCGGATGGTTTGAACATATAAACGCCAACCAGCCCTTTCTTGTATCCTACAGCAACCCTAAAAATTGAATAATCAAGTCCTGATTTCTCCAATGCACAGACCAGTACGGAGTCGTTTTCATATTTTTTGGACAAATAATGTGTCTTATTTTTTTCACCGTCAACGATCCAAACGATAAGTAACCCCTTGTCTGTGCCCACAAAGTTATACGACTGGTTTGAAGGGTGAGAAAAGGAACTCAACGCAGTCGGATTAACGTTTTCTCGTACGCCATACACGTTGAACTCACTTTCAAGCACCCAATCTGGGCGTGAATATTTCCAGCGACGAACCAAACCATCAAGACCACATGAAACCAAGCTTAGAGATAGACAGACGTCAAATGTGATGGCTGACGTCTTCTCGTGGTGGGGTTGGAGTTGGCCAACATAAGACCAGGAGTATTTATGTTTATCACCGGAGTGAACGTCATTTTTAATACAGAATATATGTACATACGGCCGAGAAGAAAAAGCTACTAAGGCATTTCTTCCATCGTCCAAGTTTTCCCACGAAGTTGTTGCCAATACGTTTGACATGAACCAATCTGGGGAACCTGGCAGCACATATTTAGCTATTTCTTGATAAGTCTAAACTAAGATTAAAGTCCACCATGGCACCTTACCATTCCGGTAACGCTAACTTTGACGATCCGCCGCAACTTTCAAAACCCAAAATCTCACCGACAATGCACAGATTCAGATGTGTGCTTTGAAGACAGTAGGCTGAGAAGTTCGGGAGTCTCTGTAGTCTAAACTTCTCGTGAATGAGTGAGCCAAATGTATGGGCAGTAATTCTTGTAATGGTATGTTTCAGTAATCATCCATGCAGTTTGTAACACTGCGGATGTTTAATCTCGATTTGAATATATCAACATAATGTGCTAATATTACGTGTTCTGGCAGAGAATTTCAGTATTTCACTACTCGATGCGAGAAACGGAGCTCCAGACGTAAACGATTTGTTCTCGGCATTTGGACTTTTTCGAATGTTCTCTCAAATAACCAGTCCCAGACGAAAGGGAAAGACATGACATATTAATACCAAGGTCATCGTTCAGTATACGATAAGCCAATATTAAATCACCACGTATTCTACGGTAAGGTAATGGAAGTAAATTGGGATGTCTCTGTCTCCATAAGATAGGCCAGACAGAACATTTACCGTTTTAGTTCCTAGTCGTTGGACTCGTTACAGCATATCCTCCTCATAGTTGAACCAAGGACTGGCTGTCTGAACCTCATATTCCAAATGCGGTAGCACGAAAGTCGGGTATAATAATCTAAACACTTCTTCATTCAAATACTGAAAAGACACACGAATGGCCCATAATGCCTTATAGTCTTTTGCAGCATCAGCTTTACAGTTACTAGTAGTTTTGGGATCATTGCTTATTATATCTCTTTAATCTCCATAGTTTATTACTTCGAATAACACGAATCCACATATTGTGTAGTGATACGAATCATCATAGTTATCCAATCGCAACACCACACTCTCGTCAGGATTCATCTCTAGTGATCATCCGACCATCCATACCACCAATGAGTCGAGATCATCCTGTAATACCGTTTTATCTGACATACTGTGTATGGGTCTGCTAATCTTCTTGTAGTCAGCGAAGTGTAGAACGGATGGCTTTGCTACTGTTGGTAGTTCATTTACATAAAGCGAAAAGAGAAGAAGACCGAGGATTGTGCCTTGTGGAACTCTAATTTTTAAATGTTCCCTCGACGAAAGTGTCACATTTACCCTCACCCTTTGTCTGCTGTCGCTTATCCAGTCTACGACTATAATCAACTCCAAAACTTTCCAGTTTTAACTTAAAATCTGAATGAGAGACCTTATCAAAGGCTTTACTCAGATCTGTAGTGACTCACGTTTATCACGAGAACACGACTGGTTTAATAAAAACAATTATTATTATAACCAACTGTACCAGTGTTTGTTTTAACGTGCTTTTTTTGACTGTGCTAATGACAGCTATTTTCTGCTTCCATTCTTTCACTTACACTTTGATTGTAACTTCGCGCGAATTCGGTTACCTTCTGTAACCACGATCGTATCCTGGCACGATCTCGGTATCCTTTCGATGCCACGAGATCGCCAGCTAATAAACCTCGACTTGGTCCATTAACTGTCTTCTGGTATTCGGCTTCTCGGGGATTTTATGGAGTCATTTGGAACGAGCTTCTTACGCCTTCTGATTCGCTCGGCACGTGTTTCTTGGTAGCGGTGTTCATAGTTTACCTCAACTCGACGCCACGCTACAATTGGTAATCCCAATTCGACCACAGATCTATGAAAATCACATCTACAGAAGTATTTCGATTTTTTACCGCAGCCCAATCATCTGTTGAAATGAAATTTGTCGAAAATGATAAGCCTTTCTGAAGGTCATGTTAATCCCTGGATAAAAGATTATGTCCTTCCATATAGTTAATAACAACCATCCAAATAATCGTTTCCATTAGTTTTACATTAGTCAGACTAACTGGTCGATAGTTACCAGCTAAACCTCTACTCCCCGCCTTATACACGAGACTAATTATTGCGCCTTTCAAGTCTCTTAAAATTTTGGACTGCAGAAGATACATATCAAAAAGTATAACTATAGGTTCAGCGATTACATTCGATAAAGTTTTCATAATTCTAAGATGGATATCATCAAGCCCGCTGAACTTATCAGGTTTGAAATACCGAAGTAGTCTTAGACAATGAAACGTTAGTCGTTCCTTGTTACTGATAGAAAACACTACTGAAATAGTCCAATAAATCCACACCCTTTTTGACATAATCTATTTCCAATGTTAATGGATTTTCTTGTAATAAAAGTGATGGGATTCCACGAAAACAATCGTTTTAGAGTATTTTCACAATTCCTAACCAACTGTTATTCATTTGACCATCTAGTCTTACATATTAACGCTTTACAAGCATTCTTCTTTTACAAAAACTTAATCTGTACTGTTCTAATTCATAGACATTAACATATTGTAGTGCTTATTCCTACATCTAAGGATTTCCTTGACTTGTTTAGTTATCCACGGTGAACGTTTGCTCGGTCTACGTGGTACCAGGTATGGTATAAACGAGGAAGTAACTGAACTAAACTTGCCCTTAAATATAGACCATGCCTCTTCAACTGATGAGCTAGTATCTGCTGACCAATCCTAATGGCTTATATATTAGCTCTCTGTACGTTTGAGCGAGGCTTAACATGATCGTATATCATGTCACTAGCTCGAAATATGGATAACAAAACAGCGTGATAGCTATTCACTAATGGTGGAAGAGTATTTAGGTTGGCAATATCCTCAGTCGCGTGAGTGATTCCAAAGTCCAACAAAGAAGAACCTTGGTTCACACCAAAACGTGTGAGTTTGGATACATACTCTAATAGAGCATACTCCATAACCGTTATAATGAGCCTGCTATCAAAAGAGTTTATAGATCCTTGTTAGTTATGTCCATAACCAACCAATCAAATCGTTTTTTAAGCGCCTACAAGGTTGATCTGTTCTGATGTGTCCTTAAAATATCCCTGTTGTATGTGACATTAATATCCTATTATACTAGTATGACTCATAATTTTTATTCATTTCCATAGGATACGCAATACTGTTAGGTGTGTTTGTGTGTTCCACTTAATTACTGTAATTCCTTTATTTACTGTACTGATCTAATTGTTTTTACGTTTAGAAATAGATAAAGATTAAAGCCAAGTTGTTCTTGTTCTGATTATGGCTTTCACATAGACTCTGGGTTCGCCAGTATCGCGTTCACTGTTCTAGTGGTATATCTGTAGGGCAAATTAATTTCTCCAATCCTACGAAGTTTATCTTAGTCCAACTAATATCAGGTGTATTAAATTTTCCTAATATCAAGCATCTGATATTTGCACTCCGTACCTGAATATGCTCTAAAACAAAGCCATCAGCTAAGCAGATTGGGCTGTGATAGATGGCACCAAGTATACGTGCACAACATCCGATAGTGAGTTCACAGCTAGTGGCTCACAAGCTCCAAACAAAGGAGCGGATATTTATATTATCGGCTATGTATAAAAGAACTTTTATCTCATCCATTTTTGCCCGTTTTCAGTGCGCTTTTTAACGTATTTTTGTTCATTCTTAGGCTTTTACTAGCATCTATAACAGTTTACGTCAATATAGTCCTTAAAAATTCATGCAAACGACCTATATGCCGTTTCGCCGTTACATCTGGCATGCAGTGCGACAACTGCAAAGGCTGGTTTCATGAAGCGTACACAGATCTCACAAACAGGCACGAACTTTGAAAGTGGTAATATTTTTTCACGTGGTTTAGGAATTCTTCGACTTGCTCTTTTGTAGGGTGTATTATACTGTTATTATCATCCTATCCTGTACATCGGGTACATCTTACCCCGAAAAATAAGGAAAAAAAACTTATTTTTGTTCGACGGACAGTTACCAGTTCGTATTGTACCTATTGCGGACTAAAGTCGTAAATAGATCTGCAATTCATTATATACTCACAGTCTCTAATCCTAGTATTAACCAGGTTAATACATAATAACAACTAATACTCAGATATTATATTTAATTTAACGAGCACTGTGCTCACTTGTTTTCATATCATGTCCAATAACTCCAGTAAAAGAGAAATTTCACCAACTTCTAACCCAAATAAAAGATCCAAATCTGTAACCCTTACAACTGACGACTCAGTGCTTGACAATGTTGAACCTTTAACTACTGAAAGATATGTGTATTGTACACAAATGTCTCTATCGTCATCAGATTCTCCATGTCGCAGCCCCTCTATCTCTACGTGCAGTATGCCAACGGTAAGACTGGTTGACATACAAGACACTATACCTACGTGCATAGAAAAGCCAGCACAGTCTACTAGACTGTATGTGCTACCAAGGCCTAAATCTAAAATTTCAAAAACTAATGAGTCCAATGGTCCACCTCATACACACTAAAATACTGATAGATATAGTAATGACATCTGACAGCTACAAAACTCTTTATTCGAAATTAACGGCAAACTTGAGCAATTAGCACCCCTCACTCATATATGGGGCCTTGACACAGACAGAAATCTTGAGCAACTCACTAAAGCTGAGTGTATTTTGGAGTTTGTGGCTGAAGAAGTGACAAAGAGAGTGATGTCCTCCTTCAATGCAGTTGTGTATAACCTCCCCGACCGCACACACCTATCTAAGTTAAGGGATATTTGCCTTAGAGCATGCGGTATGCCGAACGTTAACTGCAAAGTCATCCGCCTTGGAAAAAAGTCAGACAGATCGACTTGCCCCCTTTTGTTTATGTTTGGCTGTTGTAACGATGCCAAGTAGTTTATTAATTTAAGCAGAAATATTAGCTCACTAATTCCATACAAGAATCTAAAAGTCACTCCAGACCTTACGCCCTGTCAACGTCGTGTAAGAAGACGCGAAGCGATAGAATTGAATGGGAGTGTTACAGTTAATAATCAGCCAGAGACAGTTTGCAACACAGCAAATAGTTTAAGACACACGAACAATAAGCATGACACCACTCCACATACGGCTGATCACTCTGTTGAGTCTACAGATCAGAAACCTTTGGATAAGATGCGGACCCCAACTGACACCAAAAACCATAACGACATGACTAATCCCAGCTGTTCGTTCAGTAATGTGCTAAAGTGTGAGTCGTGTAACAACACACATGCAACTAAACCTATACACTTGAAAAATTGTCCTCCTAAAGATATTCCACAAGTAGACTTGAATGAACCTAAGTTCATCTCACAGAGACAACGGAAGACTCCAGCTCTGAAAATAAAGGGTGGGAAGAAAAAACTCATGATACCGAATAGGGAAACACGTAAGATTGAACCCAAATGCTCTATAGGTATCCCAAGAGACGTTATGAATCATTTATTGAATGTCTGGAGCTTGGACAATGGACTCAGTATGTCGATAGCCCTACC